GGTTGAATTCCTAGCACACACATGGTTAGACTCCGTAAACATTCTTAAACTCTAGTTCCCCAGGATCTTGTGCCCTCCTTTGGCCTTCATGGGTACGAGGGACACACGTGCACTTACATATGTACAGGTAACACTCATACACATAAAATAAAATATAAAATCTTTTAAAAAATAAAAAGAAATAAAATAAAAAATCTAAACTGTATGTGATTGCTCATGTCTTATAGTTCCAATGCTTAGGAGGTTGATCCAGAGAACTGCCTCAAATTTGAGGTCAACCTGTGCTACCAACTAAGGAAAAGAAGAAAAAAAAACCCCAAAACTATAATAAACAGATAACATTTAAATTCCCTTTAGCTACATTCAGACACCATTGCTCTTTCTAGAGAGAGCAACTACTGTCAACTTACTGAATATCCCTGTGGATTTTTCTCTGCACATTCATATCCGTGTTTACAGAACTACCTCATTCTGTGTGTAGAACTTCATAAGATCATGCAGCATATCACAGACTTAATTCACCAATTACATATCACTGGATTATTTATTTCTGATTTTAAAAACATCCCTCCAGTGACTGGAGAGATGGCACAGCAGTTAAGAGCACTGACTGCTCTTGCAGAAGACCCAGGCTCGAATCCTGGTACCCACATGGCGACTAACAACCATCCTTAACTCCAGTTCCAAGGGATCTGATGCCTTCTTCTGTTCTCTGTGGGCATTGAATGACAGGGATGTACTTACATACATACACATATACACATTTAAAAAAATCAAAAAATAAAAACATCCCTCCTTTAGACTAGACTTAGATCATAAGATTATATTCATTTAAATTTTTAAAAATATTTTATTTAGGGCCAGGTGTGGTGGCGCACGCCTTTAATCCCAGTAGAGGCACAGGCAGAGGCAGGCGGATCTCTGTGAGTTCAAGGCCAGCCTGGTCTACATAGTGAGTTCCAGGACAGCTGGGGCTACAGAGAGACCCTGTCTCAAAAAGACCCCCCCCCAAAAAAAATTATTTATTTTTTTTATTTTATGTGTATGAGTGTATTGCCTGCATGTATGTGAGTGCACCCATGTCATGCAATGCTGCAGAAGTCAGAAGAAGGCTTTGGATTCCCCTGGAACTGGAGTTAAGGAACATGGAGTTAAACCATGTGGGTGCTGGGAATCGAACCCGGGTCCTCTGCAAGAACAGTCAGTACTCTTAACCACTGAGCCATCTCTCCAGCTCCTCATTTAAATTTTTTTTTTTTTTTTGGTCTTTTTGAGAAGACCAAAACTGAAGACCCAACTGAAGTTAAGGAAAGTTGTTAGCTGCCACATGGATGCTGGGAACTGAACAGTGCTCTTAACTGCTGAGCTCTCATTACAACCTCTGCATTTAAATTTTTAATAATAGCTGGGCATGGTGGTGCACACCTTTAATCCCAGCACTTGGGAGGCAGAGGCAGGGGGATCTCTGAGTTCAAGGCCAGCCTGGTCTACATAGTGAGTTCCAGGACAGTTGGGGCTACAGGGAGACCCTGTCTCAAAAAGACCAAAAAAAAAATTTTTTTTTAAAAAATAATCACAACTCATTTATCCTCCAAAAATCTTTATATATTTGCAGTACCATCTATATAGTGCTTGAGTACCATTTCTCCATTCCCTTAACAAATTTGGTACTATCAGTTTTCATTTTTATCAGTCTAGTGGATGAAAGATGGTCTTTGTGTCCTTGAATTTTCATTTCCTTAGTAATTAATGGTGACTGGTCATCTTCATTTCCTCTGTGAAGTATTTTTTACACCTTGGGCCTACTTGTCTATTAAGTTATTCATCTAATTTTTACTGATATGTATGGATGTGCATGCACATGCCACGGCACACTTGTGGAGGTGTGTGGACAACATGCAGGAGTTAGTTCTCTCCTTCCACATGGGTTCTAGGGATTGAACTCAGGCTTGCATAGGCAAGTGCTTTTACCTGTTGTGCCATCTTGCCTGCCAACCCATGAATTTCTTAAGTTCTAAGAAATTGTTTTATTTCTTTCTTTAAGTAGTCTTTGTGATTTGTTTCTTCTAGTCTCTCTTTGTGGAATTCCTACTATATGAATATTGAAACTTCTAAACCTGCTGCCACATTGCTTCCATTTTTTAGACGTCCCCCCACTTTGTCCTTTTGGGTTGCTTTCTGAAAGGATTCTTTGACTCAGTCTCCCTACTTCATTTTATTTTATTTTAAATATTTTATTATTTTTATTTATGTGTTATAATATTTTATTTATTATTTTAATTTTATGTGTATGAGTGTATTGCCTGCCTGTATGTGAGTGCACCCGTGTCCAGCAATGCTGCAGAGGTCAGAAGAGGGCCTCAGATTCCCCTGGAACTGGGTTTAAGGATGGTTCGTAGCCACTATGCGGGTGCTGGGAATCGAACCTGGGTCCTCTGCAAGAGCAGTCAGTGCTCTTAACTGCTGAGCCATCTCTCCAGCCCCTTATTATTTTTATTTTACGTGTAGGCATGTATTGCTTGCATGTAAGTAAGTGCACCCATGTCATGCAATGCCCACGGAGGTCAGAAGAGGGCATTGGATCCCCTGGAACTGGAGTTATGGACAGTTGTTAGCTGCCATGTGGGTGTGGGATTAGAATCCGGGTCTTGTGCAAGAACATTCAGTGTTCTTAACTGCTGAGCCATCTCTCCACCCCTAGCTGTTACATTTAAAAAAATATATTTTGTTTATTATTTTAATTTTATGTGTATGAGTGTATTTCCTGTGTATATGTGAGTGCACCCATGTCATGCAGTGCCGCAGAGGTCAGAAGAGGGCTTCGGATTCCCCTGGAACTGGAGTTAAGGATGGTTCGTAGCCTCCATGTAGGTGCTGGGAAACGAACCTGGGTCCTTTGCAAGAGCAGTCAGTTCTCTTAACTGCTGAGCCATCTCTCCAGCCCCCAGCCATTACATTTTTTTATTTAACAACCCAGTTTTAATTTCTAGAATATCTAGCTGAATTTTTTTCTTCAGGGCATAATGTTCTCTTACCTCTCTCAGAGGACCTAGGCTATATGTATTTGAAGCTCTGAGTTGCTGTGTGTCTGTCTGTCTCACTACATAAGATTGGTTTGATGAGAAAGATGACCCTCTTTATTGGTAGCAACACTCTTCAAATGCTTGGTGAGTCTTAGCTGAAAGTTTGGTTTTAGTTTTAGTTTTTATAAATTTTTGATGCTCTCTGTTACTCTGATCAGAAATGTTCTTTACCATGACCTGATGTTGGGGAGAGGAGGGATGTTCTACTTAAGGGCACCACACAGCTCTTCTAACGTGACTGAATCAGACTTGCACGAGCTGCCAGGTGTTATACCAGGAGACTGATCTCCTGACCACGGAGGCCCCTGATCTTATTGCCAACCCCCACCCCCCAGGCCAGTGTTGAGGCTCTCAGACCCAAGGCCCACACCCAGTGCCTGACTGAGCATTTAAGATAAGGATATAGTCATAGATCCTGGCTTACATGCTGCTAGAGGTTGTCTCAGAACCCTTCCTGATCCT